GTTGCTGCTGTCATTGCTGGCGCCGATTTAAGCCGAGCAACAGCAAAATCAAAATTTGGCGTTGATATTGGAGCAGAAGAAGGAAGAAATTGAAGGAAACCCACAACGAGGCAAACGGCAAGCGATCACAGCAGTGGCAGTTGGCCCGGGCCGACTTAGGCACGCCGGAATCCATATTGTATTCACTGATGTTGCGTCCTCCGTAGTTCGCACAACCGTTTCCATCAGTTTCCTTTATTGTTTTTTTCATTATTGCTTTTGCTAATGTTATCCCGGATCTTGTTACTACTGTCTCAAATTTTACAAGATTTTCAGTTATTCATTTAATGATCTTCAATTTTTGTCGGCCACCTTTCTTTCATGTATTTGTTTTTCGTGACAACGATTAGAATGTGTAAATGAAAAAAAGTAAATTTTTTCACACCAACTATTTTTTTCTTCGCTTTTGAACGGTTATAGATCGCTTGTCGAACACGAAGAATTAGTAGTTGTAACTGGATGATATCGTACACTGTAACAATCTATAATATTGTTGGAGATTTTCCGTATGTTTTTGTTCACAGAACTTGAAAAGTAGCTAGTAGGAGGTATTAAAGCCGCTTTTTTCGCATCTTAGCTGCTGCCACATTTTTGCTTTGCCCCTTCCATTAATCAAGAGCAGGAAGAGGTATCAACATCATTTATCGTCTTGTCATCGTCGACAGCAGCGACGGCAACAGCAGCCCCATACGAAGGGGCTAGCAAAATAAGAGACAGGTTTAAAGGATGAGTTAGTGGTAATGATAATGACGGCAACAACGACCACGATTTAACGACGGCAATGGTGGCCTGTTGCCGTTGTTCACTTCACTGGGTTCACATCGTGCGTTGTCCCCGAGTCTTTGTTCCTCCATCCTCTCTTTCCTCTTGCTGTCCCGTACCCTTCTCCTCCTGCGCAGTTGCATGCTGTTTCCTGACTGCAAACAAAACCGGTAGGATTGGGAAATTTCTAGTCTTTTTCATGTTTACAGCTGTCCTTCGTTGTTTGCCACAAATGTATAGTGTTGGGTACAGATGTAATTATATGTACTTCTATTTTTATCCTTTTCTTTTTTCTTTCTCTCCCCTTCACCTGCAGCAACTCCAGCAAAATGTACGTGAAAGGAAAGGAGTGAACCTCAGTAATTTGTTTCATTTTAATTTTTAAACCCATTTTCTGTTTTTATTTTTTATGTTCTGTGTTTGTAACTTTACTAGTAAACTTCTTTCCTCATTAATTTTCTTTTTCCATGTTTTTTAAAATTTTTTTTCACCACTTTTTTTTTGTGCCTATTTGTCTGTGTGTGTATGTGTTTTTGTGTTTCTGTGTAATTCTGTGTGTCTGCTTTTAATCTCGATAATTAGCAATTTTGGAACTGTACTTTATCATTGAATTGGACTGCAACTGCTGCAGACTGTTGTTCAGCGACCTTTCGTTTACTGTTACTGTGCACGTGTTGTCTTATTGCTGGCGAATGTTACAGTTGCAAAATTTGATATTTTTCTTGTTCTGTATTATCATTATTACTGTCAGTTTTTTTTTTTTTTTTTCATCTGCACCGGCAGCAGATGTGTAACATTTTTAGCAATTGTGCAATTTATCTATAACTCTTCAGGATTTTCAACTTAACTTTTTTATTTAGTTTATCCAACCTTTTTTTTTTCATTGGCATTTTTCTGCGCTTTAATCGTCGTTTATCTTTTCGCCAAACATTTTTCACTTTTTGCCCACTGTATCCACTGCGATATCCGTTCGCTGTTTTGTGCTAATAAAACCGAATTATTTTAAAGGTGGAAGAGTTGGCGTTTGGGAAGCAAGTAAATATAATGGGCTGAAAATTGATTTAAAATTTTAAAGTGATTGTGGAGTAGAAAAAAAAGTTTTAATTCACTTATCTGATTCGATTAGTGGTGCTAAAAACTGAAAAAAAAAAGGAGAAACTACGAAGATTATAAATTGAGAATTTTGAGGCACATAGTGAGGTGTAAATTTTTGGGCAAAAAAAAAAA